TGTTTTTGCGGATTGCTGGCTGAGCTCACGTCGGCGAAGACACCAAAAAATGCGGGTTGCAAACTTTTTGGTTGCCCAAGGTACCATATTGATGCTTCTTGTGGTTTCTTTGATTGCTTTGATTCTGAGAGGTGTTCCCGTTGTATATCGTTGCTGCCTGGTTTTTTCCAAGCCTTGATAAAGAGAAGGGAAGAGATAGCAGAGAAGAATGGCTTTCTTGCTGAAAAAGATGAATTATTGGCTAGGAAGGATGTTCTTCTGATGGAGAAAGATCATACGGTGGAGGAGATGCAACGGCAGTTGGTGGGTGCAAACCGAAAAGTTAAGATTTTAACTTCTCTCCTTCTAGCAACCTGGGGGTATGTTTTATTTTGGTCCAAGGGAAACGTTGAAGGTGATTGGTGACTGTGAAAAAATCCTTCATTGATTGAAGAATTGGATGAATTACCTTAATTTTAGATTTTAGTAGATGATTGTAGTGGGAATCTTTCTAAGTTTAGGGGCATTTGAATCCGGTTGAGCCAAATATTGGTGTGTTAACGTGTATGTGTTTGTAGTTTAGTGTTTTAAGCATGGTAATGTGTATGTGTTTGAGGTTTTTTAAGACTGTAATAGATGTTGTTGCCGGGGATTCCAATTTAAGGCAATCTGTTTATTTTGTTGCCGGTAATGTGATCAACGTACAATTAAGGTTTATTTTGTAAATTAAACTCGTCAATCTTATTTTGCTATGATTGTCAAGTTATCAATGAAATGTCGGGTTATTGATTAAAATGTTTGATTATCACTTATAAAGAAAAAATTCCTACGACAGTAAATTAGACGTGACGTGTTTAGGTAAAGCCGGACATTGTAAGCCGGAATAGCCTCAGTTCTGTTTTTTCCTTTCACAAACTAAAGACATAAATCTCAGTTCCAGAAAAAGAAACAAAATTGATGGTTACCGAACCATCTGCATAAATTTATCTTAAGTTTGTAACAAAAATATCATAGTGCCTTCCAAAATACAAAAACCATCAATAGCATACCACACCATCAGACTATGCCTATCTGAAGGAGTCCAAAATATAAATTTAAGAATAACTTCGGCATACAACCATATCGAAACTGAACCAAAGTTATATAATAAAAACTTAATCATCCTTGATGAGGATCTACATCATGGAATGTCTTTGGCTTCTTACGCAAGAAGGTGCTTGCTTCTTCTTCAATTAATATTTAAATGGCATTTTCAGATGTACTCCCAGGTCCATCAACGTCCATCTTTTTCGAAAGTGCTAGATTCATAAGCCTTGCACTAGCTCTCCTCGAGGTTGTAGGGGCTGAAGAAGTACTAATTCTTGTGCATTTTTTGGGGGCAGGTGCACTTACTTTGGGCCTTATAATTCCTGACCTTGGATCTTTCAATGCTGCAGCAAGACTTTCCCACTCTATACACTCTGTCTCTTCTTCGAACAGTATATCCAAAGCCACCTACAAAAAATATAATACAATATTCCTTGTTACTTTCAAACACAAATAGGAACCAAAATGCAACTTACATAATCTAATTATCAAATACATTCTATTTGGAGCCAAAACAGAAAATAACCTCATCATCAACTTCCTAACCAGCATTTCCAGTGTGTTTTGGTTCAGTCTCCTGTGCATAATCCATCTACAGTAGACTTTACAAGTGGTTGTGATTCTGGTTGATGAACAGGAACTCCAGTTTCCGGAGGATTCTCAGTTGCAGGTGGTTGTGATTCTGGCTAATGAACAGGAGCTCCAGTTTCAAGAGAATTCTCAGTTATAGCTGGTTATGATTCTTGCTGATGAATAGGAACTCCAGTTTCAGGAGGATTCTCATTTAGAGGTGCTTCTTCCTCAGCAGCAGCATTTGCAGCATAGGCATTCACATCAACACCAGCATCCAGATCCCTCTGAAACATAAAAAAGGGTATTGTAAAGATATGCAAACTACAAAATCAGAACAATCATTCCTGCATAAACTGGTTATATATACTACCTAACTTACCTCTAATTCATAGCATTCATTTCTATAATGTCCAAAATAGTTGCAATAATCACATTAGATATCGAGCCTAGGACAATTGTCTTCTCCGTGGTCATTGCTTCTGCAGAAGTTGCATCCTTTGTGCATATAACCATCTTCAGGGGATGAATATCCACTAGGTTGAGTTGCAGGAGGTGCACCAGGGGTATTAAAAACCTACAAGAGTTTGCATCGAATAATAGATATTTATACTTTGACAAAAAAAAAAAATGAACATTTGGAGTAAACAATAATCTAAACTTTACCTCACTTAAATTTTCAGGGACTGTCAAGAATTTTTCAGCCTCAAGTACTGGACAGTCCGTAACATTGTGGTTCAGTAATTTGCAACAGTCACATTGCAATAAACTTTGGTTAACAGGCACTTCATCACCAATTTTTTTGGGTTTTCTACTCCTCTTCTTGGGTTGTGACTGAGTTGCAGACTGTACCGGGTTACTTGTGCCTTCACCTGCATCCTGTGGCTTCTTCTTGGGTGGTCTGCCCATCCTTTTTCGTACAGGTGGATTGGTGTTTTGCACTCCCCTTTCCCCATGGTTCATTGAAATGGTACCAATATCAGTACTATATAAAAATTCAAGAAACTCACATTTAACAAAATACCAAGCAGAAAGAAACTTCATACCTGATTATCTTCTCCATTTTGTTGTGCCTTAAACCCTGGGCAATTTCTCTTAATATGTTCACCTCTACAGAAACTACATTTGTTTACCCCTTTACCCCTCTTTCTACTTGCCTTCAATGATCCTTTCTTGTTTCTCCTTAATGGCTCATCCTTGTCCTTATTCCTACTCCCTTTTGGCTTGCCGATTTTGATTTTGAATTCAGGGGGCTGCAAAGTAGGACCATCAGATTTTGGCCAAAATTTTGGGCCATTTACAGGGACAATGACATATGCATATGCCTTCTCATACATCTCCCTTGAGTAACACTTATCCACATAGCTTTCAACCTTATCTATATTCTCTACTATGGCAGCTATGCCGTGAGAGCATGGCAATCCATTCAACTGCCATTTCCTACATGCACATGTCTTATCCTTAAGGTTTACCACAAACTGATCACAGCTATCAATAGTCCTCACTTCAAATAGCGGACCACCACAATGGATCACTTTACATCTAGCAGCTTCTTCAGCATCATCCTGCAACCTTTTCTTTATCTTTGGACCTAGAATACAATTATTTCGTGCCAGCCACTCCCTTTTCTGTTGTGCCCTTGAAGTTAGGTATACCCGAAGCCACTCAAGCATTCTAATGATGGGATATTCCCTGCCAGGCAATATCGCTCTATTGAAACCCTCGCTCTATTGAAGCCATAAGCTCATCATGCTCTTCCACATAACTTGATTTTGCAATTTCAAAAAGTTTCTGTTCAAGACAAGGCCCGGATGATGCCTCTTGAAATTCGACCACAAGTGATGCACACAAAATCTGTGTGAAATTCTATCTAGTTTTGATTTCACAGCTGGTATCAAACCCTGCAAAAATTAATATAATAACAATGCAATCAGGATTTCAAAGTTGGAATTTGTATACATATTAAAAGATAGAAAAACCAAAACTTAAAACTGTGAATAAGGGGAAAAAAGGAAAATTTACCTTCTGCCTGTCGGACATGATTACCCATTCAGGAGTGTTAACAGTTTGTAGATCTTTAATTAAGTAGTTCAAGAACCACTCCCATGAATCCTTACACTCAATCTCTACAACCGCATAAACAACTAGAAACATATTGTTGTTTGCATCGAATCCAACAGCTGAGAGTAAAATGCCCCCCACAACTGTTTTCAGGAATATTCCATCAAGACCAATAATGTTCCTACACCCTTCTTTGAAACCTCTCTTACATGCCTCATAGCACAAATACAACCTCTTAAATGTATTTGGTTTCGCAGGATCAATCATCAATTCAAATGTCGTCTCAGGATTAGCCTTCTTCGTTGCTTTAATGTAACCTTCCAACTGGGCATACCGCTCTTCAATTTTCCCTCTTACCTTCTCCAATGCCTTTAGCTTGGCCCTATATGCTTGAGTCCTAGATATGGTAATTCTCTTCTCATTAAGAACCCTAAATTGCACAGTGCTCACACTCATTGAAGGGTCATTTGCAAAGTCAGCAACAAACCAATCAGAAACTATGTTGGAGTTACAATTCTTGTTTTTCTCCCATATCCTACCACAAGTGTGATTGTTATTCACAGTCCTCACCTCAAATGTGTCTACATCTGGCAACTTCACTCCATAAACTTCCCAGTTGCAGCCAGGTATACAAATTCCCCTCACCTCCAAATTAGCATTCTTCTGAAACCTAATAGCCCTTCTATCAACAAGAGCATGCATTGTGATGGCCTTCAAAAGTATCCACTTAGTCCCAAATCTTTGGTTAATATCAAATGTTGGGTTGGCCATCTCTTTCGCAGGATTAAACTCTCTATATTTTTTCACTTCTTCATGAAAGTCCTCATCATCCAAACAACCCCTTTCATGAAGTTCTTCACACGAAGCATCTTCAGTTTCAGAGGCCACATCAGCACCACCATCATGGTTTGCATGGCGCACAAATTCAGTTTTCTTCAAAGTTCCCCAACAAGAACCACTCATCGAGTGATTGGCTAACTTCTGAACCTTTTCATCATCAGAATCACAACTATAATCACTTTCAGGTTCATAGTCTTCATCATCAGTATCTCATCACCTTCATCTAAATACGCAGGCTTTCTCGGTTTAGGTTTAGCCCCTCCAGGTAATGGATCATACTCAAGTTTCCCTATCCTATAGATGACCACAGGAGACTTCATTTCACCAGACAGTAAAGCAAGCATATATTTAAGGTCTTCATTAGTGTTTAATCTCCTAAAACCAGAATATTCAGCTACAATAGGGTCTCTAAAAAATAGCTTATGAGGACTACAAAACCCTACACGTTCCAGAAATGAGTAACACTATTCCAAACAAAGCTGGTCAGTTGTCACTTCATCAAAGTAATCAACCTCTACCTTTAAATATGTCAGTTCACCTTTCCTGTTGGTCACAAACCCCCCACTATGAAACAATTTGACAGTTACAAGGTTAGACCCTTCACCTGAAAAAGATATCAAAAAGTGTGTCACTCCATGAAAGAAAACAATTAAAAACTAACAAACTGTTCTGGAATTATCAACAAATTAACAATAGTTAACCAATTTCAAGCTAAAATGTCCCCTCCTAGCACTACAAAGTGGTCATGAACGTTGTAAGAAAGTGAAGAACCCTAAGTATACAAACAGACAAGTGAAGAACACAAAGTATACAAACAGACAAGGAAATAATGTATGAATCAAGAATGAATCTGAACCCTAGCCTACTCCACCGTTAAAAAAAGAAGCCCATCTCAACAAACACTTTTAAAAAATCCATTTCACAAACTTAAACTATAAATAAATCAATGCAAAATCCAAATATAACAATTTCTAGGCCTTACCGTAATCTGGTACTTTTGAAACTTCATCTGGGGATCGAACATAATCATCGCCCCTCCACATCTTGGTCGATGAAATAACCCCGAACGATGTCTTTACACCTTCGATGTTAAAACCGATGAGACCGCTTGTATTTTCCGGCAACAATTCAGACTGCATCTCAATCTGAAACAAAACCGAAACCCTAATGGATGTAAATCGTCAAAACAAATTCACCGAATCCCTTTAATACTACCCTATTTGGTAAAGATTTCAAAAAAAAACAACGAATTTAGCCCGCCATACCCCCTTGTTCTTTCGAATTTCACAAACCCTAATCTCCAATTTCTATAACTCACGTTTTCTCTCTCCCCGTTTTTCTCCCTAGTATTGTTTCCTCTCTCCCCAAAGTGACTTTTTTATTTTTATTATGTTTGAAAATGTATATACTGCATTGGGATTGGGTTGGGCCTTAATAATTTTTATATTAATTTTAATTGGGTTGGGCTACTTAAAAATTTTGGCCCGTTGTATTATATGGCAGCCCATGCCAAGAATTGGCTGTCGCTGGGATTGAGCCATCTCCGGTGATCGGAACAGTAAGTTCCGACAATCGGCCAGCGAAATTCCCAGCGAATATGCCGGAAAATGACCGGAATATATACCGGTGCCGGCGGCCCGGTGGTGGTCCGGTACCTGACCGGCGGCGGCCCGATGGTGGTCCGTACCTGACCGGCGACGGCCCGGTGGTGGTCCGGTGCCTGATCGGCAGCGGACCGGTGGTGGACCAGTGGCTCAGTGGTGGTACATGGCGGCTCAAGGCGGCAAATTCAATTTTTTTTGAATTTTGAATTTGCCGCCCAAAATTTTGGGCGGCAACCACGTGACTCGCACATGCGTGGGGAGTGTGGTTCATTTTTTTAATTTACCGATTATACCCTTGGTCAACTCCACCGTCCACTGCCACTGACCACCACCCTTTTCCTCGGAAAATAAACGGAGAATCAAAAAAAAATAAAAGTTCACTATTTAGTACAGAAAGTGCAACCTTTTTTCTTTTTAGTTCCGAGTGGATATAGATGGCATCTTTTCAGTACTTTTGGAGTAATTAATTCAAAATTTTAAAAATCAGCAGGTTTCATTCCATCTTCAGTTTCATTTTAATAGCATGTCACTTTACATCATCTTACTTAAAAGTTTCCGAATCTTTAGTAGGTTAAAAATCTACAATGTTTTTGGTTGTTATTTTAGTATTTTTGACAGTCCATTGAACCAAAAAAAAAAAAAAAGGAACTGGCAAAATCTCATTCCATTTTCATTTCCTGTTGATTCCAAAATAAAAACGAAATGAAAACCGGCAGATCTCACTCCATTCTAATTTTCATCTTTAATAGCAAGTCACACTGTATCTCCTGCTTAAAAAGTTCTGACTCTTTAGTAGTTTGCAATTGTTTTAGTTGCTATTTTAATATTTTGGCAGCCCGTTGAACCAAAAAAAATAAAATAAAATAAAATTATCAGGTCTCTCCATCTTCAAAAATTTTAGTTTATATACCATATTACTATGTATCATCCTACTTAAAAGGTTCTGAGTCTTTAGTAAGTTTAAAAATCTACAATGGCTTTGATTGTTATTTTAGTATTTTTGACAGTCCATTGCCCAAAAATAACAAAGAAAGGAATTGGCAAAATCTCGTTCCAATTCTATTTTCATATTTGACAAAATGTCACTCTGCTTATTATCTTCTCTTTAAATACATATAATTTCTATCTCTTTCGAGTTATAATTTCCACTATGGGCCGGATCTTTTTCTTTTAATGTATGATTCACAACGGCATTTAGGGGCGAATGTTCCATAACACCACCCGGGTGACCAATATCATCGTAATGATAAGATATTTGAACGAAATTATAATCGTAAGCTCCTTAAACACCCTAAGAAATGAAAACTTTGGTAGGATCATTATATCTTTCCAAACAGCTATAAAAAATCTAAATTTACTCCTTTTCAATCTTGGACTATTCAAAAGAAACTCTTCATCGCCATTTATTACTTCCTCTATATCATAGTCAAAAGTTGCTAATCCATTAAGTTTTCCTGAAATCATGTTATGAAATAGTATCAATCAATTGAGTACATAATAAATTGACAATTGAGTACATAATAAATTGATAAGTTAAAATGATGAATAGATTTATCAAACACAACTTTAATATATTTATAATTAAAATTTCATTTCCAACTAAAAATAATTTGATTTAATCCTATCATGTATCCCTATCATGTATGACCTATCATGCAGCTTGTGAATAGTGTGTTAATGGCCATGAGTAGATACTGGTCTGCAGCTTTATCCTCCCAAGTAGTATTACGCAACAGATCAATAGAGTTTATCGATCTTTTCTCTGGGGGTGTTAAAGAAACAGGGAGAAAATTGGCCCTAGTGAGTTGGGATCAGGTCTGTAGAAGCAAGCATGGAGGTGGCCTGAATGTAAAGGATCCCAAACTCTGGAATGAAGCAGCACTGATTAAGCAGATTTGGCAGTTGGCCTGCAAAAAAGACTATTTGTGGATCAAATGGATTCATGAAATATACATCAAAAAGCAAGACTTCTGGGAAATGGAGGTCAAGCAGGATAGTAGTTGGCACTGGAAGAAGATTTTGAACCTGAAGAACAAAGTGAAATCTGAATTTGATGGTACAAGGTGGAAGCACACTCCCTCAGGTGAGTGTTCTATTTCCTCTGGGTACTAATGGCTAAATGGTGCTGGGGAGAAGTTGCCAGCTGCTCAGTTCATTTGTGCCAAGTGTTGTGTACCTAAACATTCTTTTGTTGTTTGGTTATTTTGGAGAAATAGGCTACTTACAAAAGATAGAGGCAAGGTTTCATATTCCTGTGGATGTTTTAGAGTGTACTCTCTGTCATAGTCAACCAGAGAACTCTGAACATCTGTTTTTTGCATGTACCTATTCTGTGGAGTTAATGACTAAGGTAGCTGGATGGTTGGGTTTGTTGACTGTAATCTGTGATCAGAAAGATTGGAGGGAAAGAGTATCGAGAATCTGGAAGCAGCCAAATTCAGAAGACAGGTTTTGTTTGCTGTTATGGCTGCAGTTGTGTACCACTTATGGGAAGAAAGGAACGCCAGGATCTTTGCTAGAAGGAAAAGGGACACAGACGAGGTGTTGAAGGTTGTGAAAACTGAAATCAAATGGTGCCTAGAACAGCATAGAGGTAGCAGGATGACAGTAGTTGAGCAAGATTTATTCAGGAAATGGTTTGGTGATGTTTTAGAGTAGCGGGTTAGTTAGCATACTACAGTTAAGAATCTTGGTTGTAAATATAATTTTCCTTGAAGAAGTTAATATATATTTACAGTTTATAAAAAAAAATAAAAAATCACCATGAACTCAATTCATATGTTTTGCATGTGAAAAATAACTTTCCATCAGGATTTAATACTCAAAAGTAACAAAATGACCTCATATGGATTTTTGGCTAAGTAAAGACTTATTTTTTATAAATAAATTTGATGAATGACCTGTTATGAAATTACTCAATCGGTCAAGGATTTGTTTTCCGGTTCACTCGTGTCTTTATACAATCGACATAACCCAAATGATTGTCCAATTTCTTTTTTTTTTTTTAATTTTAAGTATAATTTTCATTAAATTTTTTAATTTTAAGTATAATTTTCATTAAAAAAAAACAAAATCTGAAATTAAAAAATCATTTTGGGACGAATTTAACCAGTTATTTTTGGATTAAAAAAAAGGCTACTTATCAAATAATAATATAATAATAATCAAACAAAAAAGAAATAATCCTAAGGGTACTCCGGACGAAGGGATAGGGGTATCAAGTCGGGCGGATTCGGTCGGTTCGAGGGAAATCGGTTCTGGTTAATCGATTTCTCCTCTCAGCATACTCGCCTGAAACTGAACCCCGAATTTTGTAATACCAAACCGAATCGATCGAAAAAAATTTCGGATTTATCAGTTCGGTTTCGGTTCACCGCATAAGAAGTTTGGGCACCTTTTTCCCAAAACAAAACAAGTAAACAACAACAAAAAAATCCAACCACCACCGCGGACTCATTGCCAACCACCACCTCATGTCGATACCATTCCCATTCAACAAGATTACTAAAACCCACAAACAAAATAACGAATTGAAGATCCAAAAATATGAAATTCATGTCTAAAGACCAAAAGAGAGAGAGACTAAGAGAGTTTAGGAACAAGGAGGGCGAGGCAGCGCGGAAAAGAGATGGAGCAGTCGGTGAACGAAAAATTGAGTCTGAAGAATGGGAGAGAACAGAAACGGGAGACGCGGAGAGAGGAGATAAGGGGTGGGGGAGGAGAATCGGGGAGAGGAGATAATAGATTTGATTTTTAAAAAAAAACTAATAATTAATACTACTGTAATGTATATCTATATCCTATATATTTTATAAAATTAGTATATAATATCTTACTATATTAGAAACAAAAACCTCCCTTTCGAACACCTCATATGATTGCCACGTGGCATGTAGAAAATACTAAATTGCCCTTTTGTCTAATCATAACTAAATTACTAAATCTCCCTTTGCACTTTACGTGACACGTTTTTATTTTTAATTTTTTCTTTATGTTTCATTCAACTAGAGTGGTTTTTTAAATTGAATTGATCAATTAGGTCTTTTGTTACAAAGTGTCAATTTTGTTTTAAGCGTATACCCTTTGGATGAAAATTATTACAAAACTATTAAAAATCTCCAAAAATAAGTATTGATTTGGCACGACCAATGGAGAACATCAATAAATCATCTTACTAATATTTAAATTTATTAGGATGCTTTTATATTTTATCTAACATTTACTTCAACACATATATTCGATTAAGCTATTTATATTTAATTAGTAACACTTATAAAACATTTCTAAAACATACATGGCGAAATACAATTTTTTTTTTTTTGCGAAATACAAATATTTCTATGATCACACTTATAAAACATTTCTAAATCCTTCAAACATTTCTAAAATATATCGCTCCAAATACAAAATTTTATTTTTTTCAAATATAAACATTTCTAAGATCTACAGTTAGACTGGGCCAGGGTCGCGCATTGCGCGACCAGACATCACTAGTATATATATATACAAATTCGAGTTTTCAGGCGGGCCCTAAAGATTTTAGTTATGCCCGCACTCAAACCGCTCTAGCTCTCTTTACTTTTGGGTGGATGCGAACTCGCACCGCAAACCCATTTAACCGAACCAAATGAGCAAAATCGGATTCGGTTCGGACGGATTTTCCGGTTGACTCGTTTAATTGACACCTCTAAGAAGGGATCATAAATTCTTTATATTGGTTTCTTGAGAATCTCAAGAAATGCACTAAGTTCTCCCCTCCGAGTAGAAAGAAACGGTAAATTCTAGAAAAATTTGAAGATTGTAATGCCTTTAAAATGCTCTCCAAAATATGAAAAATCAAAACAAAACAAAAAGAACAAAATAAAGAAAACGAAAAAGCCCTCCAAAATCCCATCTCAAAAAATAGCTGACCCAAATTGGAGTCAAATATCTCAACATTTATCACTAATTTGAATTTACTATGAAAAAAAATTACCTTGTAGAGAACTAAATGGATCCAATTAACTTCTCAAACACTAGCATCTAACTTGAAAAATGTTTCAGGAATTGCTGACAAGACTTTGGCGCATCAAAGCTTTCACGATCTCTTCAACTTCAGAGAAACTTGGATCTTTTGTCACATCGTCTAAATTGAAAGGTACATTATTAGCAATGTGAATTTCAGACTGGTTCAGTTTTGCTAGGAATTCCTTCAATTCCACCAACCATGATGAAGTGTCTGCATTTGGGTTGCATCTCATCACCTTGACTCGAGACTTCCATCTATTATTCATTGGAGCTGTAAATGAGAATGTTGGGGTAATTTCTCCTTCATATTCAAACACAATAAGGTTAGGTACATCAAATTGTGCGTCCTCTAACTTATCATTGTGTGCCAACTTTATCTTCTTCAACGAGTGACACGAAATCTCGATTATTTGTAAATCTCCACAATTTTCGATAGTCAGATTCTCAAGATGTGAGAATTTATTTAAAATTCTCAAATGAAAAACCGACGGCCAACTATAAATCGCCAAAATTTCAATCAAAGGGCAGCTCGACAGTATATTCTCAAACATCGACTCATCGAAGTCGACCTCCTTAAGATAGAGCTGTTTGAGATTACGCCACATTATTCTTATTCCCTCGTTATTATTAGACTTATTAAAACGACACTTCCCTAGACATAATTCCACAATGGACTCTGTTTCCAACACTTCAACTGGCTACTCAAACAGAACCTCACCAAGGCCTCCTCCAAAGTAAAAATCAAGTTTCCTGACACCCTTTTCCACGGCAAGTTTAAGGCATTCGTCATGACGATTGTCCATCCAGAAGTAGTAATCGACGTGGAATTTGAACGTCTCTAAACCAATCTTCTCACGCTGGTACCTTTTTAAAGTGGAGATCATGTGATCGAGTTCGTCTGAACATGAGTAAATGTGATTGAGTTCCGCTTGAACGGAATTCAAGCATTTGAGTTCATCATCTTCTTCATCATCTGAACTTACTTCCTTATAGCTATCGAAAGCCAAAACCAAAGCCGGGCGAGTGAGCTGACGCCTTGCGCCAAACCTTGGATAAAGTACTTGCTTGAATCGCTTCTTTATTCGTGACGAAAGAAAGTATTACATGAAGAATTTCTTCAGGCAAATCACAAAGGTTTCTCATGGCCTCTGTCTCAAAAGGGTCCTTCTTTCGACGGCCGCAAAGGAAGAAAAGAAAGGAATTGCCCTAATCGGATTCATCTTTTTCCATATGACTGTGGACAAATGGTAATGTTGGGTTTTATACAATATTCAGGCAAAAGGCTAACGAATCAAAGCAGGCTATAATTAGAGAAAGTAAGATTATTACTTTCTCTAATTAGGAAAGTTTAGGTGTCATAGTTAATTCCTTCTCTTTTAATAGCCTCAACTATTTTCGGTCCTAGTGACCAAGTATCTTCAAGTCTCTGCCTGAGGATGATTCTTTCAGCTCATGAACAAAAGGAAAGAAAAGGATTTGTTCATACTTCATAGTTCATACTGTTTTTGATTGGCTCTTAAGGTTCTTCCGAAAATGAGAGAACAGGGGAATCTAGCCTAGTGGCTTAAGGACTGGCCTACTTCATTAATCTCTTTCCTTTTGAGCATTGTTCTTTTTTTCTTTTTTTTTTCTTTTTTATTTTTGCCCCGAGCGCTGCTCGGGTTCAATGTATTGAATTTTACTACTACTTTTTGTATTTCAAAATGATTTTCTAATTTAAAATTTTTATAATTAGTATAATCATTTTAAGACAGATAGAATACATGTCAATCTCAGGAGCACTACAGCTGCTTTGATGCAGAAAGATGACCTCTCGCTAAGAGTTAAGACATTACACCAAAAAGCGAAAATCAAAATGTTTGCGAAGGAGTACAGTAATAAAAATGGTCATGGAAATTTGTTTGTTTCAGTTTGAAATTTGCATTATGAAGTTCAAAAACTACTTCCATAAAATGTAGACATTTGGATTACAGATGTAAAAGAAGACTGTCGAAAATGGTTAGTAGAAGACAATGATAATGAGAAATTTGATGGTTTCAAATGCTCGAATCTTCCGCAAAAGCATACAAGGGGTTAGCTGTTTATAATATACCCTTAAACAAAAGAGCAGGGGATTTGCATTCCTACTTTCTAATATGATCCAGGGAGCTCTATACAAAAATAATTTTACTTTCAAACGACGAAGAGTTCAACAAAATTTGGACTCTTTTAGATGGAGCCCTGGTCGGAACAGATGGCTAACAAAGAAACACAGAAATCAGTTGTTTGATTATGCTTGAGGATGTAAGATCAGAAGCTATTTATCACTTTGTACTCTACCGTACATATGTAGTTCTTTCTCTGCCTTCTTCTTCGCTTGCCAGGTTTCCTTCCTTCTAGCTTCTCTCTCAACGGACTCCTCTTGGACTCTCTCCATTACCGCATCAAAACCAGGAATTGTCTTTTCCAGCTTTTGGTATACTTCAACACTAAGATTGTGGAAGATGTTGAATAACGACTGCATCAAAGGAAGGAAACTTTGAGAATATTTTTAGCACGATTATGCATTAACACATCAGAACAACGGATTAAAACAGATACAATTAGCAAATTTAAACAAGGTTCCCTGCATTGCATGGTAGATCCATCCCCCTAAACAAACTTTGTTTCTCGATACGAAACACATTCTGTTACCAGATACTCAGAAGCAATTACTTACCATAACATCCTTATTCCATTCTTGAATATATGGAGGGCCAGTGGTGTATGAGCCAAGAGGTTCACGGTACCATTCTCCCCCATACGTAAGTTGATCCATGGCTTGTTCAACGCTAAGAACCTCCCAAGGTCTCAATCCAGGAATTATTTTAGCCAATTGATCCCTGTCTCATCCAGAAAAAGTACACTTTAAAATTATAGAATGCAGCTAAAGGAAGAGGTAAGAATCACGAGCCATAGGGTTTCAGACATGAATCACTTCGACCAAATATTTTCCAGACATTGTCGTCCATAAAGATAACGAAAAGAAAATGGTTGCAACTTGTGATACCTGAGATCTCTGGGAATAAATTTATTGGGCATGTGATCAGCTTCCAAAACTGATGTCAGCTCAGTACCACTAGCCCAAAGGAACAACGAATGACTTGGAGTCCTAACACCAGGCCAAACACCATCATTAGCTTTTAGGACAGCTAAGTCACGCCTTTTACTTTCATACGCTTCGTCTTGTAATTGCTTGTACGTTTTGTTCTCGTGCCCCTTGAGAGGAACCCAAGGTGGTATACCTTTCTGCAATTTGTGAAGAAAAGCTGTAGCTGCCGCGCCTAATCTAACTGGAATCACGGAAATGATACGTGAAAGAATCAGGAGGGGTTCCCAAAGCAAGTTAAGAAATATGGAAGGACTCAACTAGGAGTCAGCTTTCTAAATCCGTCTAGCACCTAAGAACCCAAATAAAAATCACTTCACGGAGTAAGTTTACCACAACTACTTCAGAACAAATTTCCTACATAAACTTTTTCAAGCCCTTGATAAGATTATGCAACCACTAACCACTTACAGCAAAACTTTACCAAGAAATAACTTCTGTAGTTGAGTTAGATTAAACCAAAGATCCAGCAAGGACCTCTATCTACCAACAAAGTAAATTATTTCAATGCGCATGATCTGTACGATAAAAAATTGACACTAACAATACAATCACAATATCAAACACAAAACTGGTAGTCTTTCCAGGGAATGGTTAACGAACCTTCCCAGGTGGCAATCGCACGTTCCATGCCATACACCATGCCAATGGGTGCCCATTCATCCATGTCCTCACCCCAAATGAATGTATGTTTATCAATAATTCCAGCACCCCAAGCAGTCTTAAGCTGGATCAACTCCATTGGCCCCCTCGTACGACCAAGTCGGTCTTTATAGTAGAATCCTCCACTTCTCATGATAACTGACGCAAAATCAATAACAACAATGAGGTCAAAAGGAAGCCGAAAACAGTATATATAAACACATAGGATAATAGAAATCAAAACACCTAAAGCCTTTTTATCAAGTCTGAGATCATGTCGCGCGTATCATCAGATGATGACATGTAACAGACAGAAAAATAAAAAGAAATGCAAAATAGGAGAGTTTAAGCATAAAACACACAATCTGCATCCCCAAATGTTAAGCTAATAGAAAGCAAACCTTATACACTAATGATGTAACACAAAATCTGAGATCATGTTGCAGATATCATCAGATGTTGACATGTAAAACAATATGTATAACAGAAAAACAAAAAGAAATGCAAATAGGAGAGTTTAAGCATAAAAGACACAATCTGCATCCCCAAATATTAAGCTAATAGAAAGCAAACCTTATACACTAATGATGTAACACAAAAATTACATTCAGATGCAAGGTTAAAAAATGACAACATATCAAAGACTCCGATTCTCGTATACTTACAATCATAGTAGCGTCTTTCAAGTTTCTTATATCCAATTGCTTGTGCAGCATCAATGGGTCTCCCAGGTGGGTATGGCCTTTGCCGAAATCCCCAAAGCCCGAAAAAGAATTGCTTTGCAAAATCCCAAAATTTATCATCAGATTCCTTCTTAGTCTTGATGGCTTTCCTCGGCATTGGTCTCCCATCCAATCCCATTACATGAGGCACCGCCTTAAAGATTTTCAGAATAGGTAGTCAATTGTTAGAACTGTTTAAGCTGCAAATATACAAACAGAGAGAGAGCACACAACAAGCTTTTCCAAAACTGAAGCCCAAAGGCTTCCAAGAATGTACCATCATTCAAAGAGAGATTATGACACCAAAAAATGAATTTATAGTATTTCCTGGGAAACCACGAGCACATTTCTTGATTCCCCCACCCAACATAGAGCAACAACAACAAAGGGAAAAATGAACTCAAATTCAGCCTAGAAGTTCCTCACCAAGTGAAGCTCTTAAATTTTTCCTTCCAATTGCCAATGATTACAAGACACAAAAAATAACTAATAAATCAGATAACCAACAAATGAGCAAACTATTTGAAGCAAACCTGCCATAATTTCTTATCTTCCTTCCTGTAAGGAGCTGAATTCTCCTTGAGCTCCATTTCATTAATTTTGTCAGCAATCTCCTCAGCTCGAGCCAAAAACTGAACGACTGGACTGCTCTTGAAATCTTCCCACCATTTCTTATTTTCCTCAATCTCTTCAGGAGTTGGGTTTTCCTTCTTCTCAAAAAAAGGGTCTTCATTTAGGATCTTCTCCACCTCAGGGGCGTGTCTATAGTCAGGAAAATTCTCGCATTCCCAGTAGAACTGGTCCAGCATTTGGGTATACTTTCCGGGTTTGCCCGGGTCATTTTTCCGCTTCCTAAAAGAGGGTTTGAAAGATAAGGCAGCAAAATTAGGCGCTTTTTCTTGGGGTTTAAAGGGATTCAAGGCTTCAAAAACTGACAGTAGGTTGATGGGTTGAAATGGAATAGCGGGTTTCTTGAACCAATTGTTGTTGTCGCCGGAAAAGAATGGATTGAGAGAACCCATCTCACCAGAATTTATTTGCAGGAGGAAATGGTTGTTTTTCGCCTTCGAATTTCTGGGATTTTGAGGCTGTTTTTTGAGGAAGCTCGACAATGAACAATGAAGAACTAAGCAGAAGACCCCCCTCGGCCTGCAGTCGTCTCTACTGTCTAGTGTGTGACTGTGTGAAGGATGTAATTTGTTTTGGGCCACTAGAGCAAGCCCAAATGATTCTGCATTTCATAGCCCAGATTTTATGCAATTTTTTCTTTATAAACGTCGTTGCTGTTGCTGTTGTTGTTGTTTTTAGTTTGCGAGTTTAGGTTGCTTTGACGATTGATAGTTTGATACTAGGTGATATTAGCCCATATTTTCTGCTCTCTTGCGCACTTGATGAGTTTATATAACAAGAGTTCAGGCAAATAGAAGAGATTGCCCTGCTATGGCAGCAAAATATAGAACAATTTTTGTAGCACTCTTGCTGTTGGAGGCAAAAAATCATCCAAGTAATTCTACGTAACCATAAACCTTAGATAAACGGATTCATTTGCAATTCTGTACAACCATTATGTCATCGCCATATTTTAACAACTTCCGATTACACTAATATAAATTTTTCCATCAAAAAAACTGGCAATGACATAATGACCTAGTCTAGCGACACCAAAATATACATCAGACTGGAATTTCTCTGCGGCATCTTCCAAAGCAAGTCGGGTGGTTTTTTAACCAACTGGACGAGAAAGTGCACCAAACATAAAGCAAAGCAACAAAAGAGTCGAACTTGCTGTAATACCAAGAGCGAAAGCATCCAACAATCTTCCTTATGCAAAGACAATGAGTTGGTCTAATCTACTTCCTCCTGAGATCTGAGTTACAAATATGCCCAGAAAAAAAAAAAAAAGAAAATCAACAAAACTTGAGGTATAAGATATATAAACAAATTTCCGAAAGAACAATAAATGTTAAGTTGCGTTAAAGGAAATTCACTCACAAGATGCATGCATGGTATTAAGACAATTTAGTTGGCTACAAGCTTTAGCAAGGAACTAAAACTGCCTGCCATACTGTTCTGTACAACCAAAATTACCAAACCTAACTGGTGACTAGCTATAACTCTTTATATTGAAGCCCACTAATTCAAACTAATTGAGTTAAAATTGTACTCCTCTCCAAATTGATTGTCCAGTTTGAATTTTCATTCTTGTTACAATTTCTAATAAAAGCGTTAATCCAAACCGGACAATCATTTCGGGATAGGAGTAAAAGATAAAAGGATATGTGAAGCGAAGCATTGAAGTATGCCATTGAAATTGCTTTGTAAAATGCAGAAAAGCAAAAAACATAATGACACAAATCAGTGCTTGGTCATGACCTATTTTGTTGTTCAAGAGAACAAACTATATGCAAACTTTAGCTTCCACGTAAGGATTCGAAGTTGGAATACCAAAAATTGAGGGAGCAAATTAATTGGAAATCTACATCTGATGAGCTCATAAATATTCACTATTAGAGAAAAAGCATCAGGAGAAGTTGATATTTAGTATAAGAAACCAATCATATATGTCATGCACTTCTATTGCCTGCATGGCCAATTTTTTATCTATGAAAGAGCAAAAGCTGCAACTTGCTAAAATAAAGAGAACAATTTACTCCATGAATATTCATAATGTGATATGAATCTAATAAAAGAATAAAATAATTACAATATCTTCCAGATTTGACTCTTTATACGGTCACGAAACTTATACGCGTTAAGCCTACTAGAAAAAACTTTTATTTCAAGTTTCACATCCTCAAATTATTCCCCCTAGATTGTAGATTTAGAAAATACAGTTATATGCAACAACAAACACTAGTAAAATTACGTATAGAGTTTTATTGATGACAAACAAGAATGTTGTCCAATATGCAGAAATAAAAGAATTATGCGCCAACATCAATAGAACTTAAAGAAGCAGAAATCCAATATAACAAAAAGAAATGGTTTTACCTTAAAGAAGCACGCAATTCATACTTAACTGCCTTCAAATGCTTCCTCACTATATCTAATCTTTTCAGATAAAGCTCAATCTCTTTTAAACGCGACTTGTTCCATTCTTTCTCAAAGTCTTCTTGTCTCTTTGATCCCTCAAGCAGGTGAAACCCCTGACTTATAAGATTTTTTGCTTCGAAACAGTCATCAAGAATCAAACCTCCACCAGATTTGTCTACAATATTTTCTTTTATCTCCTTGCCCCATAACATGTCACATAACTTCAAAACTTGTGCTTCATGAGAAGACAAATATTCCCGAGATTTTTTGGCAACCCTTGCATGCATGTTTTTTAAGCGTCTAATCTTTTCTTTAACCTGGGGCAAACTAGGTTTGAAATCAGCTAAATCCCCAATAGCTTGATGAACAGAGTGAATGTGATACTTAGATCCCTCTTTATCCTCATTCTTCACTTTTATCAAGCATTCAAGTAAAGTAAGAACATGAGAGTCACTCCATCTGGCATAAGGACTCTTTTCAGTCTTACTTTTTCTTGGAAAATTGATCTGCTGTGGAGTATTAACATCCTCATTTCTCAATGTGCTCACAGCAAGAGAGCCTCTGGATTGAAAAACTCCTCTACTCTGGAAAGAAAAATGGAAACAAAATATTCAAACCATTAAAAGTAATATTTTAATCAATCCAAACTAATTCAAACTAATATGCAATTTTTCCAAGCATACTACTCAGTATCCTGCATGGCTACTTATATTGTTTTTCTTGTCTTTTGCAGTCATGTCATCAGTTATTTTTGTGATTTCCCACAACTGCTTACTTTTCTATCCAAGTTGTCTACTAAAGGGGACAATTTACTCTTTCAATATTCAAGATGTGATATGAATTAACAAAAGAATGAAATAACTACAATATCTTCCAGATTTGACTCTTTATCCGGTCACGAAACATATACGAGTTAAGCATATTAGAATAACTCTTTATCTGAATTTTGTACAAATTGAACATACAAATTATATGTGCTGCATAAAATTTACAATTTACATATTTCCATGTTGGAAAACAACTGAAATCAACAAAGCAAGTACACCCATCAACCAACACTTCACCACTTGTTTAGATTTTAAGTTCAGCTTTCTTTTTCGTTTTTTTTTAATCCCTTTTGAAAAAGAAAACAGAAACTGATATGAAAAGCATTTTGACTCACCTTGCCTCGCGCTATATCACCTCCCAAATCATGATCTTGGCTTGCTTCAGTTTCTGACTCATAAGATCCATCATCTTCATGCGAATCATGCCCGTTGGCTACCACAATTTGCTTGAGAGCATCGCTGGAGAACTTCTCTCCCAAATCCATGTTTTCATGACCGCTATTTGCTTCAGAATCACCTCCAGGCACCAAGTCAGCAGAGCCATCATCTTCTTCCTCATTCTCCTCTGACTCAGATGAGTCTTCCTCTTCTTCCTCATTAACATCTACATTTTGCTTGAGGTTATTGTTTGAGTGTTTCTCTATGAACTCCATGTTTGCTTTGTCGTTTTTAGCCACCGACTCAGCTGAGTCATCCTCGTCTTCCTCAACCTCCTCTGACTCAGATGAGCCATCATCTTCTTCCACATTACTTTGGTCATGTTCATTAGTTCCTGTGTTTTCTCCCAAATCCATGTTCTGCTGTGCCTGTTTATTTCTTATTTGGGAATCACCGTCAGACTCAAACTCAGATGATTTGTTCTTCTCTCCTTGAGCAATGGACTTTTCTTCACTTGAGCCGGATTCAGATTGTTCTTCGTCTTCGGAACCTGATTCAAAATCTTCATCGTCTCTGTCTCCTACAGAATTCTCAATTGGACGCCTCAATTTCTTAAGTGGAGGCTGATCAACTTCATTAGTAGATAATGGTAGTGATTTACATTCTTCACTTTTCTCAACGGTTGCTCTAGAACGACGAATCCCCATCTTCTGAAACAAGGAGGGGAAAAAACAACAGCAAAACATTATAAATCAAAACACAGGACGTCACAAAAATTGCTCCACCAACTACTAAAAACAGAGAGACAATATGTGACGCCCCAACGAGAACCTCCCTGGTTTAGTACAAGACGAAGGTGCTAATTAAAGCGTCAACCTAGCTCACGTCAGGCTTAACTCTAATCAAATCACTATTTCAAATTTTTGAACTTACATTCTCAAATCACTTTGATAAAACTCAAAACATTACAATTTATTACACAGAGAAACCTCAATTCTGTTTGAACATCACAAAACCAATTGAAAAACAAAGCCACTACTTAAGACAAATTACCAACCGAGAATGCTACAAACCAAACAAGAGAGGTATAATTCAGATGTGGCTGTATCCCCAATTTCGTTTCCCCCTCCTATTTCAACAAATTTATCACTGTAGAGAAATAGAAATGATGAGAGGAGTTTAGGGTTTAGGGCACACGAGAGGGGAAGGTGAGAGTGAGAGTGGGAGAGAATTTTAGAGAGGAAGATGACAAAAACATCAAGCTATGGTAAATTTGGATTAGCAATTTTATCAAGGCAACAAGAGAACAGAAATCAAAGCTTGCCATACATTCATTCAGCACCAACCATCAAAACAATACACAATCCCAATCCTAAGCGAACAATACTGAAATGAGTTTAAACGCAGGGAAAACTGAAGCTTTGAAATTATTTCACTCTTCTTCTTGTGTTTTTTTTTTACCTTTATGCTTGTCGATTTTGGTGTAGACGGCGCAACTGCAAGTGAGAAGAACGAGTGGCGGTTGACGGCGTCGCACAGCCCCGGCGATGGAAAAAGAATCAAGTTTCCATTCTTTTTTAGCACCAACTTAGGTTTTAATTATGGCGAAACCTTTTCCCAAGGTCCGATTGTTTGAATGAAGGCCTTAGGGTCTTCTTTTATTTATTAGGAGGGAAATGAAAAGTTTGTAGAAATTTTCTATTATTTGGAGGGAAAATTTTCTATTATTATATAATCATAATTCTTTCTGTAATACTCCCTCTGTCCCAAAATTATTATCTAATTTGAAATTTCACTTTTAGTATAATTTAAATTAGAAATGAAAATTTAAACTGAACAATAATTATAGGATGGAAGGAGTATTTGCTTGAGTTTTTTCTACTATATCAAGCAAGAAAAAAATTTTGTCTAAATGTGTAGGGTTTTTTCGCCGATTTATTTTCATTTTCCCATTATTTTTCTTAATTCTTAAATATTTTAATCATCTGATTTGAAGCGCTGTGTTAAAATTTGGCCCATAGTAATCATATATATTCAGTTTGTTTTGGGCATTCGAAATTATGCATTCCAATCTAAGATTAGTGAGTTGAGTTCCTTACTTTTTGTTGTTTTTTGACACTTATATTTGCTTATTTGGTGTTGTTTGGGTTCCTCATCACAATTGGTTTATTTTTTTTAACTTGGATCTCTTTAACCTGTTTAGTGTTTCTTTCTTCTTTTTATTTTTCTTTTCATCTATGTACTTGGAGTAAAATATTTTGTGGTCTTTTGTGAACTTGAAGCGAGATGCACATGAATTATGAATTATTGCAAATCATTTTAATGCTGAAATTGAGTTTTTTTCCTGGATGTATTTAGAAAACAAGAAATTCTGCTGAAGTCGGTGGAGATTGAGGAGAAAAGGACAAACCTGTTAATTTCAGATGAGAAAAATACTAAAAGCAAATTTAAATTCCTCATAATGGAGAAATAAAGCTCATGCCCTTCTGAGTTCTAACTACTCTTCCAATACCCTAAACCAAAATTTTCCCAACTTAGAATACATGTGATTAGTTTTAAATTTTGTAAAATACATTGAAGAAAACACCAAAAAAAAAAGGGAAGGAAAAAAGGATTGTTGCCACAAACAACAGGAGTCAGAATAATAAGATGATGACTCGATATTATTTGATACAAACAAAAGGCATCATAAGAAGAAATCACATCATGATTATTTCTGACATACACGTAACACAAATGTAACACCAAAATGCCACAACTTTTTTTTGTCAATAATAACTACGTTAAAATGCTATCAAGCGATGACTCATCGCCCATTCTTTTCTTCCATTGCCTCAAGAGGATCCACTTCCTCATTTGACAAAAGATCAACAATGGGTTCAAACACATCCCAATCTTTCCTTTTCCTGGGAAAAGGTAATAAAACAACTGCATTAATTCAAATCAATGTTATCAAAACTTTCTATATCTCGATATACGCGTCTTGCCAACATATTTTTGTATACATTTGAATGTTACAGTACTACATCTCCAATTGTAAGCAGATAGCTTGTGAACACAAAGGGTTTCCAGCGAATGCTATTTACGCCATTTCAAGATCATGTAACGACCCTTTTGCCTTTTACTTACTCAGAAATGCACAGATATCCTGGTTGCATACCAGAACTTGTCAAAAGAAATCGTAAAATGGAAATGAGATCATACTGCCCACCAATGACTGTCAATTTGTAATTTACCAGGAGGGAGCCAACCCCCAACAAGTGGACCTCACATCAGCACAAAACAAATCCAACTTGATCAGCCAGTGTGTCTAACTGCAAGTCCAATGTGCCCCTTTTCGACGGAGATATACTCCACTCCTAACCTCCCTTGAACCCTTCATCGGCAATAACATAAATGTACCTCCTCTTTCTATCTAAGCATGCTCCACCTCTCATTTATTTTTGACACAAGCAACCCAGTTTTATTAGACAGGCGTTGACATGGTTAAATAAACATAAACTTAGAAGCCGCAACACAATAATGTCATGTACAGGCTCACAGATCTTTGTGAGATATCCACTCAGACATTAAGGTAGTGTACATTAAAAAGAATTTGAAAAAAAACCTCTGAAGCCTAAGCTATTTTCCATACTTCATGTTCACATCTGCTACTGTATCATGGTAGCCAACAAATGTCAAACTAAGAGCAGGTGCATCACCATTGTTGACACTGGATGAATGTCACATTTACTCAGGGTATCAAGTTTGTAATTAGCACAGGTCTTCAGAAAGCATATTTTAATTAGAACTTCTCTTTACATAGTGCTACACTAAGCAGGAAGCCGAAACTTGAAAATTAAATGCTACTTTTATCGCACCAGTCCAAATATGATAATTATTTCAATAAACACTTTCATTTGGATTTCGTATCTAAATAGCAAAAACCAATCACAGGCAAAGCAAAACTCGAAACTGTAAAACCCACCTGGCTGGTAAATATTCAAAACCTTTGCGTCCCTTTTTAATCATTCTACTTTCTTTTGCTGAAGCAACACTTTGTACTGCAATCTACATTAAGCGAGTTAGCAAAAGAACAAAATGGATATCTCAGTGATAAACATTACAAGACAATGATAATCAGTCTAGATCATTTTTTCATCTCAGCACCCCATGACAGGTACAAGAGAATTATAACTCAACAACTTATAGCAGCTATAAATTAAACAGATTAAGATCATCACCTCATATAGTTGTTCCCTAATCGCAAATACAACTGCAGGCTGCAAAGCAAAACACAAAAATCAATCAATTACTTTTTTACAAGCTTATACACATAACTCGGCGTACATCAATATCCAGTCAATAAAAGGATGAGAGGTTTACAGCATAACGTAAAGAAGGGCACTAATTATTTACCAACTAGTTTCACACCATTAATCACTAGCGGGAATTGCCTTCCTGTTAAGTTGACCCTAATATATAGAATACTTATCCAGTTAAATATACACGTAAAACTGAAAGTTATTGAAACATTAGTACACAAAGTTCTAAATGATTTTTAAATCTTTTATATAAGAAACTAACAAAATTTATTATCAGCATAGAAAATATGGGACAGATTTGAAATTTTTGAAATTCAGGATGTATATAGATATAAATAAAGCTAGATGCTTGCCCAGGCATTTGCCCGGGGACGTCCTCCCACCTAATAAATTGATATGTAAATAATCGAAACTGATTAAGAATGAATTTAGTTTTATACGAAGATAATTGATTGACCAAAAATTAATTTTTTTGAAAGTCCTAAATAAGTGGAGAAGGAAAGTTCCATTCACTGTCAAATTCAAAATTTGAATGAACATGGCCATCTGATCTATTCGTTAATATTATAAATATCTTTTTTGTTTTTAAAAGGGGGTGACACGTGGCGGAATAGTTTATGCAATATGGTGCATTTGGAGCCAAAATATTTTTATAAAAAATTGTCACATCAACATCATGTTTTCTGCTTTAATAGGGTAAAAGAGATAGCTGCAAAATATAAGAGAAAAACCTTAAACAAAGTAGCAACTTAGCACTGAAAGAAGGATCAAAATTGGAATTACGGAGTCACCACTTTTCAAGAATGTCAACATAATAAAATTGATACATCTTTATCTATATCTATATTTATATTAAGTGAAACTCCTTGTTTTGCACTAAACTTGATTGTTTCCTCTTCAAGGCATTAATGGCATCCTAGTAGATAAAGCAAATTGACGGCATTATTTGTAAATAGTGGCTTATACAGCCACAAAAAGAAGTCTTCTACTCTCTTTTACCAAGTTTAGCGGTGAATGCCACTGTGAACTTGGCATTTTTAAATAACTTAAAAAGTAAATTCCAATTCAAGGAGTATTATTATCAACCAAAACATTAATAAATAAATAAGCCTAGGAGTATCTATTACAATTACAAGGACATGAAATCAACGAATATTGCACAGAAGAACATAATTTTGTATTTGAGTTGAATTAGACGTGAATAATCAAGGGATTATTGGTCAAAGTTAGTTGTATTTAGTTTGTTGTGTACAAATTTGGAAGGGTCATAGTCAAGAATAACAAAGCAGAACAAACTTTAATACATATATACATACATGAAATAACTTCATTTTCGAACCAAAAAAACAACATCAGCTTCTTTTTTTTTTTGGTCACAGTTGGACGAAAGAGTCCCATTTGACCGTTGCTGATGATTCTTCCAAAAAATAAGAAAACAAAAAAAAATCATGTGTTTCTACTGTGCAAATTTCATCAAGAAAATCCGTACACGTCTAAAATATAAAACATGCTAATTATGCCAATCATAATTAATATGAGGATGAATGGAGGAACGAAAAATTAGGCAGTCCAGTAGAACTGGAAGAGTAACAACACTGGTGCAATTCATGGGGTTTATTTTTTACAATAATGGATCATCCATTCTACAACATCCTCATCTCAAAAACAAAAATAGATGCTTCACTTATGAATCTTATGAAAAATAGTGTTTTGCTTTTTTTTATTTGTTTGTGTGTGTGCGTGTAATTGAATCAAGATTTATTGTAAGGAAATATGGCACACCATAAAGTTTACAATAAATTGCAAATTCGTAAAAAAAATTATCATTCTTTTTCAAAATGGATAAGTTGAAGCTCTCACTAGGAGAGGTATGAACCGATTCCACAGATCATAAGTAGGAGGAAATTCCGTAAAGGGGGAGAGGGGGAGCATAAACCATTCAAAGGAGTCAAAATGAAAGGAGAGGGGCGGAGACATTGAAGAAAACACCAAAATAACCTGTATTTACTAGTATCAAAGAATTTCAGATTACTGTTAACAAGGTGTAACCAGTGACATTATCCCCTACCAATAAACATATCCATTTCTATTTGCAAAACATTAAATGGATGACCAACGTAAAGACAATTTCTAAAAGTCAAGGACAACTGAAATGTTTACTCCAACTTCTGGATCATCAATTCCCAAATCTTTGCAAAAAGTTCTTGCAAACTCTTCTGGGTCACTCTCAAAGTTGTTCAGCTCCTGAAACTCAGCCCAAATAAGTTTCGTGATTATAGAAGAATTATGCACAGGCTACAATCTCTGTGCTGCATGGATTTATGACATGATAGCCATAAAGATCAATAAAATTACTAA